ATAGAAGTAGAGGGTTTTGAATATCATTTATGAAATAAGAAAGGTTGTGGTGAGACTGCAGGAAAATATCTTTTTTTATAATTTTTGAGTCACAATTGTAAATTGCGTCCAGATTTGGACGCAATTTCGTTTAAGGGATAATAATAATATTACTATGATTACAAAAAGCAAAATACCAATCATTCATTTGTTATCATCTTGATAAGAATCTTATAAATTGCCCAGCAAGATCTGCTCTGTGTTTTGATTCCAATTAAAATATTTATAAACTAAAATAAAAATATCAATATAAAAAATAGTACCTCTATTATTAACACTTCTTCTTTAGGAGAATCAAACCAAACCATGCCAAACAACAACACTCATATTTCCTCACCTTGGATTCTGTCAAAAAATAAATTGTTTTTCAAAAAAAAAATCAATTCGTGTCTGTCCCAAAAAAAAAATTCCTTGTGCAACAAAAAACAACCAATAGGATAAATAATTAATGTGTAAGTGTTGATCAAAACAATAATTCTTTTTCTTTTTTATTCTAAGATGTCTTTTTCAACCAAAAAGAGAAAAAACGAAAATAACAAAGGGGATGCATTGACCAAGTAAGTGTTTTAAGAGTGGTGGTTATCACCACCCATCATCACTCTAGTTTATATTGAAATTTTCTGGTTGATAAACATCAAATTAAAACTTTGACTAAACTTTGACTTTGTGTTTATAATAGGTTACTATTACCATATAATGGAAACAATAATAAAGTAAGTAACTAGTAAATTATATTCTCTTCAAATGGATAAGACTGACCATTTTATTTCAATCTAATTTGGATTTTTTGATATTAATACAATTTCCAACTCACAGGAAAATGAAGATACAATCATTGAATTAAAAAATACCATTGTAGAATTACAAAAGGGTAAAGATTTCACAACAAAAATCCATTAGTCCGATAAATATACATAAATTATTTCCCATCTTTTTATTTATCTATTTGAGTGATCATTTGGTATACTGATTGCAAACTTTAACTAACTTAATTTTAACTTCTCTTACTATCATTTTTAGAATTAAAAAAAAATAAAGGTAAACTTGAAGCAAATATTCAAAAAGATAAAAAAAAAATTAAATTATTCTCAATTAAATACATATCATATTGACTAATTTATGCTTTTTTCCTTTTCACACCCTCTTATGCCTGCTTCTATTCCATAACAACTAATCCAGGTGAATTTTCATTTTTGTTTAAACTTCAATTCTTTTTTTTAAATAATCTTTAACTAATAAATACATTTTTATTTAGTTGGTAAAAAGGACATTACAAACGAAATTAAAGAATCATTTTTTGAAAAATTTGACCTTTTGCCCACCACAGAAGAATTATCTGAAATTCTGCTGACACCATTTAAGATTAAAATACCAATAATTAGAGAGAAATATCAAACATGGATATCAAGTTGGAAAGAAACATCCAAATATTTTATAATTGATGAACAAGAAAATACACTTGCAGCTAGGGTTTGTATTCATGAATATCATAAGGGGTCACACATGGTCACACACTATTAAAATCAAGTGATCAACTCATTTTTTAGGGATTTTTTGCTGTTTTAATAGTGTGTAACCCCTTAATGATATTCATGAATAAAAACCCTATATACTTGCAGCTGGTTTTTCTTATGACTGCATGTCAGCAACAGGGCATATTATACAGGGATCAGAAAATAATCAGATTCCTAAATATGATAGGCTAATGGGTTGTACTTGGGAAAAGTTAAATCAGGTAGATAATATTCTATTATCTACCTTAATTATGTTAAAATAAAGACTAACAGATATTTATTCTGTGGTAGGCATTTGGTCAAGATATAAAGATTGATCATAATGTTACTGATAAAAACACAACTATTGTACATGGACTCCATCCTGATTATTTGATTTGGATGAAAAATATTTTAGTACTTAAAGGGGAAGAAAAGATCAATGATATTGATAAGGCAATATCTGAATTGACAGATAAAAATGAATTATGGAACCTTTCTACATCAGGAAATTTTTTCTGATGTAAATTTACATAATATTATGGGGCCCACCATAAACTTATGTAAATAGTGTAATATTATGCAAAAATTGCACAATTATTACATTCAGTGTAAATATTACATCCTTTTTATGCGAAATATTATGACATTTCATATTAAAACTTATGGATGTAATATTATGGTGGGAAAAGTTTCCTGATGCTATGTACCATCAAATTCCTTATATCCTTTGTTATGCAGCTGGTGGAAATAAGCTCCAATTCTTTGCTATTAAAGCACAAGATATTACAACAATCAGTCCATGTTGTGATTTATCAAACACTGCTTCAGAACTCAAGGTAAACATCAAATTAATGTTACTATCCACTTGATTAATTGACAATCCGTCTATAAATCAGAGAAATGTCAATCAATTTATTATATAAAATTTTCAAAAAATAAAAATCTACAAATGTCCATTACACAATAACAATAAAACTTTTATAATTGTTATCAAACCCATTACTAATTTTGTACCAATAGATATCATTGTCAATAGATGATAATGACTTAAATTTATTGTATGAAAAATTAATACCACAATTTGCTTTAAAAAGTAAACAAAAATTTGGGAAAAAAGTGGTGGTAAAAAGGCTTGATTTAAACGTAATTGAAAAATCACTCTCCAACAAATCAAATAATAGATATTTAGATTTAATCAAAATCATAAAAAACAAGCAGTTAAGAATGCTAATATGGATAATTAATGTAAAAAAAAATAATATTAATATTAACTTCACATGTATAATGTTTTTAACAATAAATTTAATTGATAATCCATGATATCCCATATCATTTCCATTTTGACTTTTCTTACATATTTGCACTTCTCTCATCATGCTATAGTATCAAAAATTTAGAAAGTAAAACAAGTAGAAAAAAAGATACATTTGTGCATGACAATATAGAACAAATGTTAAACAATTTTTTTCAGAATGGCAAATTATATAGATGTGAATGGTAGGTATCTTAGTATTATTTGCATGTTTTGTGGCAACAATTACTGATCATACCAGTGTGCTATTACCAGGTCAACTACAGTCTTAGAGGAATCAGCACATCATAAAAAAAAATTTGATCCAACATTTATAGAAAATAAACCAGATTTTTCAGTTTATAATATGTTCAAAGAGTCTAATAATATTCTTTTAGTGATGGAAGTAAAACCTCCTGTAAAGTCTAATACAAATCCATTATTCAGTGATCTAAGAAAACTTGGCAATGAGATGAAAGATATAATAGACAAGTGCATAGAAGATGGCATTTATGATGATAGGTTAAAAATTTGTGGCATATTGGTTAGTGTTGGTTTCCAAAATTAGAGAGTTTTGCAACCATGTGAAAGTCAAAAGGTTTTGCTATAAGTCGAAACTAGTTTTGATTGTCAACTATTGACTTTTGATTTAGTTTTGACATATAACTTTTAATTTTAGTTTTGATTTTCGCCTATTCAAAATAGTTTTGGCAACCGACACTAATATTGGTAGAAAGCAAGCAAACAATCTTTCATATGTTTTTCTTTGTATAAATACTTATTTATGAATATAATCAATGCTTTTCTTATAACTAGGGCATGAATGTGATGTATTTGTGATGGATATCAAACATGATGCTGTATATAGGATGATACACTTGGGAAAGTTCTTTGCACCATGTGATTGTTATGATTTGAGTGTAACTTCTTCAGCAATTGAATTATTATCAACAATAAAGGTCAGCAAAGTATTTCTGGATGATAATTTCATGTCATATAATATACTAATTCTTTCATTTTTTACAAAAAGTCAATTGTCACAGAGTCTGCACAAATTTGTATTAATAGTTTGAGGTCACAAAACAATCAAAAGATAATAAAATGAAAAGTATGATTAGGAATTATTATCATACACCAATAAAATATGCAGTGAAAAAAGAAATGGCAATTAAAAGAACATTACTGGTGCAAGCGTGCAATCCGAGTTTCCTATTTAACAGGTTATTTACCTCAACACACAGCCTCCCCGCTGACTTACAGTTGATTCTATAGTTTGACACACAGCCTACCTGCTGACTTACGGTCAAGTTTCCAATATTTATATATATGACACACAGCCTACTCACTGACTTACGGTCAAAAATTAATAAAATATGACTTTTATCCCTTTGGATAAAAGGTTCCCTAGGTTCTATATATGTATTATATCCCAAAGGCGTTCCCTTGAGATGTCTGTCAATAATTAAAACGTTGGTTACCTGCTATGGACAGCAAAGGTTCACCCTTTGTAGTGTATTAATTATTTAGATGTTATTATTTTTAAGGTAAAGTATGTTATGTGTTTTTATTAGCGATAATAATATTATTACAATGTTTTTGAAGTATTAATTATTAGATCAATAATTAAAAGATTGTTATGAACATGATGATTCTGACTTGGTCTAAAACCAAGTCT